TTTCCCCCTACATATAGCCTAAACAATGTGCCTAAGTGTTGTGGTAAGGTCCCTAAAGAAGGTCACCTCATCGACCCTAGTAAATCTCATAACCTCAAACTCTAAATCTGAGACAAACTTATCACTGATGTTGCTAGTAAAAGAGGTGTGACTTTCATCTCTACCATCCTAACTAAGGGAAGAATTATAAACCTTAGTTTAATTTCTGAAATTCAAAAGAAAATGAATGTTATTATCACCATTCAGGATATAAGGTACTCTTGACACTCTAGAGGCATGTACCCACATGGATGCTTATTCTTTAACCAGCAGTTCTTAGGAACAATTGAATCTGATACTCTGATACCTTTAAATGTAACACCCTAATCATAGTCGCCCCAAAGATCAAAGAAATAAAGTATTACACAGGACCACTGAAGTAGCTAACCTAAAATTTCTTTTCAAAACAACATCATAATACTCATTTAAAAATATCATCATTTAAAGCATACATGAAAACATAAGTACACGAGCTTACAATAGTGGGGAGCTCCCAAAATATCTTAAAATACATATATTAAGTATTTCAAAATTGAGTTATGACTCAATACATGAAGGTCTATGAATTGTACATGTCCTCTAAAAAGACTAAAGACATACTCTAATGCCTCGACAACTCTAGAATCACGAAACTAGCGATAAAGCCCCTCAATAAGCTATATTACGAATCTAAACACAAAAACAAATTCCAAACAATTAGCTCACAATCTTAGTGTTACACTAATATTTGTACTATATTACATACATTCACTATATGAGTATGCTAGCAATCAAAGGCATAAACATAGAAGAACACTAACATACAAAGCTAAGGTAGACATAATGGTGTGTTTGGAGGGTTATTACATCTCAGGACACACACTCCTCTAGCCTTCCTAAGATACCTTAGGTATCAAGGGTGAGATCTGGAACTGCATATAAACATACACATGCCCGTCTTACTATATAAGAGTACTTAGGGTATATGGGCCCAGCTAACAACTAAAGTGTTTTGGCACATACTGTGATGTATCTGGATATTCTAATCATATAAAACGATCTTCATATTTGCTAAAGTAACTCAGGTTTCATTGTTATTTCTCAAGCATCATAGAAAGGTTAGTTTTATGACATTTTATTTCATAAGCTTTCTTATACTTTAGCTGCATTTATTTGTTGTTCTCACTTGAAAGTTCATTTAAGGAGTATTGATGGTCATAGACCCTCTTCTGAACACATCTCTCTAAGTTAGGCTTCTTGCCCAAAATTGTACGATGGTACTGATACTAAACCCTTTTGCATCGATACTGACCCTTCATTATCGTTACCCGAACTTGGTACCTATACCAAATCTGCTTACTATAATATGAGAAAACCATATAGTTTATGATACATGAACTAGAGACCATAACGTCGACATATGCTTCTTTGCATTGATGTTTCTATTTGAACTCATTAGAAGAACAAAGTCTCAAAGATTCAAAGCATATCTAATCGGTAAGCATAATGTTAATGAATCTTTTAAAGATCCTAATGTTCCTCCCTTTGATGTTACAGATTCGAGGATGAATACTTTTGATGAGATTTAGGATGATATATGAATCACAAGGCTCATGTCAAAGGAAGATAGACTAACACTTCCAATGAACTCACATGATCAATCCTTAGAAAAAAAAGAATAGCATATCAGTAGACTTGCGACTACTTTTTGAATGTGATCCTAATGTTATTTGGTTTACATGTATTATGGATTTATGATCGAATGTCTCTTATATTTCCAATTGTTCTTGAATCACATCAATTCGATATCGACAACTCAAGATATGCTCATTTTAATGAAGACAGTGCGTGCAGAAATCCCTATACTGGATTTTATAATTTTCAAAATTTTTCATCTTAGGAATAAAGGTTAGAAAGGTAATGGAATGTAATAGCCTTGATAGTTTATCACACTCTATCACCTTGCTTATCATAAGCTATGCCACCTATCATTATTCTAGAAGCTCGATCTAAACCATTCATCATATTTAACAACTGAGGATCAAGTCATGCATTCAAACTCCTAGTTTCTATCTCCACCATCGAATCAAGCACTACATCAAGGGCCTAGATTGATTCTGTCCACATCACATGGATTAGGATAGTATTTTATCATTATATTTTTATTTTTATTTTTATTTTATTCCTTAAGCATGTTACAACAAGGACTCCTCAAAACCTATATAAAGGAGGCTCCTCCCACCATTGTAGATCACCAATTTCTTTCTTTTTATACAATACAACGAAAGTTCATTTTTGCAAGAGCTGATTGCCTTATGCCTTCGAAGCTTATTTTTCTTTTAGTTATTCCAAGTTTTTAAGAGAGATATCTTCACACTCTGGTTTGCCTCTTCGTTGCAATTAGGAGTGCTGGTTAGAGTTGTATTATCGAGTTTTTCTTTTCATTACAACTAAGAGGGTTCGATAGGACATTTATCCTTCAATTATCATCTTCAAAAAATCCATCATATTCTTCCTAAATTTTGACACCATCATCCTAAACAAACCTTAGGGTTTGTGTTAACACCATACATACCAGGTGTAAAAATTTTAATCAATTTTCCCATCAATTCATTCATCCGATTTCAATTTCGTCTTCGACGTCGCAATCATCAAATTTATATCTTTCTAACGAGTATCCATTCATAGAAGTCCAACTTTGATTCATCCTTGGTCGCCCACTTTAAAGGAGATAAGATTAAGTTCTTTATTACATATTTTTTCTCTTAGCTATCTTTTATTACCCTTGTTTTCCTATTTTCTTTAATTCTTTCCCTATTTCATTTCTTTTTTTTCCATTGTCTTAATCCTTATTTACTTGTCTTAACTCCAACGTCTAAACCTATTCCAAAACCATAGCTATCATCGGCCATCTCTCTCTCAATTCACAGTTTCATCGATCCTAGATCTTTCTAGGTTTGATCCTCGACAAGAGCAACGTTTATTCATTCACTGTTGCTTATCTATCAGTATCGATACTCCTATTTGGAGTATTAATACTTCTGTACTAGGGTACCGATACCATCCTAGGTATCGATTCCTCTATTAGGTTCGATGTTTGGGAATTTAAATTTAGTATTGATGCCCTGACTTAGGTTATCAATACTTCTGGTTGGTATAGTATCGATACCCCCAGGTAACGATACTAAAATTGGCTACTAGAATTTGCATCCTAACATTAGTGTCGATACTTCACCCTTGTGTATCAATATTCGAAGAACATTATCAATACTCTATGAATAGAGTATCAATATTACGATGCCGAAAATCCTTTCGTTTTAGCTATCTGAAGAACAATATCAATATTGTTCATCTAGTACCGATAGTTGAGCCTAAAAATACTTTGTTTTTATTTGAGCCAAAACCCCTTAAATATTATTAAAGTCTTATGCAAGATTAAAGGGGGTCATAATATGCCAATTTCCAAGATGTATAACATTATAAACTAAAATCTTTCATGGATGCACTTCATGCATCATGAACTCATGCAAGCTAGCAAAACACATCTAGTGATCTACGGATGGTATAGATGAGTTAGAAATATGTTACCTTGAATTCTAAGCTGCTGGAAACACTCAAAATTCAACCAAGTACTAGAATCTCATTTCTCTTTCTTCTATTCTTACTTTGCTAATCCAGACTAGAGGTGTAAAACCCGCAAAGTTGCTATCTTTGATAATGGATGTCTTGAAAATAAGAATGGTCAGCGAAAAGTAGAAGACAAGAAAATAGAGGGAAATAAGAAGGATGGTGCATTTTTTCCCTTTTGATTCATCCGTGTAACCTCATCACAATTAAAGAAAATTAGCTTTTCAAATTCTAAATGGTATAATTATCTTCTTGGCCCCTCTACCATTGGTATCAAATCAAAAATATCCTTTTATCTCTAATTGGGCTCAACTTAAGCCCAATTCAACTCAAACTTGGACCAAGGCTTTTTACAAGGCTACTAACTTGAGATTTTGAGGCGTTACAAGAATAACAGGTTGTTCCAAGTGTGTTCTTGTGAGGTTGTTGATATTTTGCCGATCATCAAGCCGATAATTCAAACTAGGTTGAAATGGGGGACTTTCAATGGGTTGAACCATGCAAATGCTAGGCATATTAATGCTTGGGGTGGTTTTCTATAGTTGCTACTATCTATTTTATTGTTGATTGTAGTAGTTGACTGCTTCTTTGGATAATAAATTAAATTTATCAAAATAATAATAATTTTATCAAAACCTTTCTGAACTACCAATAACTTTATTAATTATTATAACATTCATCATAATTTTTTTTTAAATAAATTCACATAAATCATAATTTTCCTAATTTTTTAACATCATTATTTCGTCAATTTAATCCATTTAGATAGTTTCAACCCATTTAAATAGTTTACCGAATATATCCAAATTTAATTATTGGTAGGCCGAAAACATACGACACTTAAGTCTATGGGCGACGACCAAACCGTGAGCGACTCGCAACTTGCAATGGAATTTTGTCAAGACTCGGTTACATGGACATTATCATTCGAACACGCTGGAAACCGTAACCGCCAAAACCAGCAGCGCCGCTGCTTGGATTACATGGAATATTACTTGTCTTCGGCAATCGCTTTCCCCTTTACCAATATGTTTGGCTGTCCACCAAACTCGTCTTTTTGCCATCCTAAAATTTCATGGAACATATATACAACCAATTAATGCAACACAACTTTCATATATACACGGAGTTTAAAATATACGAAGATTAAAATCTAAAGATAAGATTTTTTTAAAAATTAAATAATTTTAATTATCAATTTATGGTCTTTTAATAATTTTAAATATAAATTGATTATGTTCCCATATATATATCACAGGACCAGTCTGTTGTAGTAAAATACCTGGAAGAGCATGAAGGTGAAAACCAGCTAGAAGAAAGAAAATTTTATTGTAACTGTATTTCACAAATTTTGAGCACAAAGAAATAAATTTGAGAATTACATATGAAAACTCATCCTAAATCCTAAATCCTAAATCCACAAAATTAAACTTACATTTAAAAAAAAAAAAGTCAGAACTACTGGCCGAAAAATCACCAGTTCCCACCCACTTTACAACATCCAAAACATCAACCAAGAAAAAAATAAAATCGTCACACAACTGTTGATGTCGCCGGAACAGCAACGCCATCATCATAGAAGCTCCATAGCTCACCGACGACACTCACCTGCGGAGCTACGCCGTTTTGGGTCGGCGATTCACCGTCCAGATAAGGTATTGATAAAATTTCATGTAGTCCTCGTACGCCATCAGCTCCTCAGACAGTTTCTGCACTTCGTTCTTCTCTTCTTCGGCCTTGTTGATGGACTCTCCTCGTTTCTCTTCTTCTTCTTCTTCTTCAGCTTTTACAGGGACGTAACAAAGATCCACATTCTCCTCTCCGGACCCTTTATTTTCATCTCCGGGCATAACGATCGGGTCAGTGGCATATCCGCCAATTTCATTCAAGTCTAAATCAAATCCGTAATTACTGATATATGTGTTTGAATTGAAACTGGGGTTGTTGAGATTATAGTGGGTGGTGGAGAAAGCGTCATCCTCGTTGGGGAAATTAACCTTGGCTTTCTTGCCCCTGATTTTGCGAGCCTCTCGGTCATAGGCTCGGGCTGCTTCCTCGGCAGTGTTGAAAGTGCCGAGCCAAACACGAACCCCTTTCCGAGGATCACGAATCTCGGCTGCCCATTTTCCCCAGGGACGTTGCCTTATGCCCCTGTACAGGTTCTTCCTTGGCCTTTTCGGTTTCTTCTCAGCTTGTTCGGCAACTGTTTCAAAACAAAGTCGAACAATCAGGAACAAATGTCAGCAAAAGTAAACGAACATCAAAGTAGGGAAGGAAAGCATGGGTACCTAGCAACAGGGGCGCTTCGTGTTCGGGTTGGAGTCTTTTCTTACAGCTAAATCCATTGGTTTCAGTAATGAAAGGGGAGTTAGGCCAGAGGTCAGCGGCAGAGACGCAGCGGCCACGGTTCCGAGGGATGAAATCGGCTATGATAGCACCGCCGCACAGTCTTGAAAGGAACTATTTGATTGAAGCAGTAAGGACTGTAAGATTATGTTTATTCTGAGAGCTTGAAAACCAGTAATCGAGAAGGTGATAACGAGAAATATGAATGGTTTAAAGGAAGATTTTTAGAGCTAAATTTGGAAAATAAGTGAAGAATGAAGAGCAGCGAGGAGCTGGGGGGTTTAAGTAGGGGATGGGAAGAGTTAAAAGGTGCGGTACAGTGAATACGCGCTAGGCCGGCTAAGGACAGGGAACTTTCCTTCCTTTGACTTGGACGCCACCAGCATGTAATAATAATGATAATATCATTTATTAATTATATTTTCTTCGATTTGATGAGACCGGTGTGGATGGCACACACATATTTACAACAAATTACACGCATTAACGTGTATCACTAAATTCATAATTGATCACTAAATTTTTAATATAATATTTATTATTATATTTCAAAAATTATAAAATAAATATTAAATTTTGAATTTTATTAAAAATACTGATAGTTAAATGCTATTAAAAGAGTGATGGATCATATCAAATTAATAATAAATAACTTATGTAATCCCTTAATTATAATAAAGTTTCATTTTATATGTTTCTCAATATTTCCAAGTAATAATTTAAAAAGTTAGAAAACTTAATTTTTTTTAAAAATATATAAAATAATTTTTTAAAAAATAAAAATAAAATATATAATTTTATAATTTGTTTTCATTGATCAATTTTTTTATAACTAATTACTATTATTTAATTGTGATTGTATTTGTAAATTTAAAAATTATAATTTTTTAGATACAAAAAACAATTAAATTATCCCACAATTAAATTATTTTTATTAAGCGATGTGATCCAAGCAATTAATTTTTGCTTAATAAATTTAAACACAATTTAAAAATAATACATATAGAAATTATGATATCACATTGATAAGAAAATTACGTTCAAAATAAAATAAAAAAAATATAAACAAGCACTAATTATTAGTAATGTATTAATAATTTACATGGTATAAATAAAATATTATAATATGAACCTAGAAATTAATATTTTTACAAAAAAAATATAAATTAATATTTAATTTATTATATTTATTTTATTTTCAATTCAATGAACTTAATAAATGTTATTTAAAGTAAAATTAAAGGTAAAATAAAATCTTAGTTAAAATTGAAAGGTCGAAAGATATATTTTATATTAATTTAACATTACACATCATTCCTGTGATGGCATATAATCACATAGTGTTCCCATTTTATAACAAAATATAAAGTTTAATTTCTATTATATAACTTTTAAAAGTTTAGTGTCTAAAATGATATTTTTTTACTTTTTTTTGAACTACTGTTTCAGACATTATCACATATAATTTAGTTTTTGGTCTGATTTTAGTTTTAGTCCCTTTACTATGTTGAAATTTTGGATATAATGCCTTTATTTTGTTATGTCATAGTTTGGTGCCTATACATTTATAATATTACAATATGTCCAAATTGATAACATTATTACTTGTTGTCGTTATAATGATGATTATGTTTTTTTAAATAGATTTATACGGTTGATTGATATATAAATTTACTATTAATTAAATGTAAAAGAACCTTGATCTCGTAGTTGAGTTCTCTCTCTTTTAAACTTGGACTCCAGTATGCTTTGAAATCAGTCCAGTTCTCAATGCTCCACCCATAATTCTTCTTGATTTTGTTAACTTTTTGTCTTACCATTGGAGCTACATTAACAACTAATATCTTCGTCCTTTAATGATATCGAAATTTTGTTGGGACACGTGTTTTGTAGTCTAATACATAGGTGTTATAACAACAACAACAAAACCCAATTCCCATATGTATGGGGTAAGGGGGAGGTAGGGTAGTAGGCTACCCCCAACGCCAGGTTGAGAGTAGCTTCCGTGGAAGACCTCCGGCAGTCAGAAAATTAAAAATTTAGATAAAATGCAATGCATGTATAAATAAATACATAAATACATAGCTAATCAGTATTCATATGCAGTCATTAAAATCATATGTGCGTCTGTAACTGGAATTTATCCCTGCATAATAATCCCTGCGAAAGAATCTCTGCATATAGACAGAAACATAAGATCCGGCTAATTTAAAAGAGGAAACATAAAGAGAATGATACACAGAAGTCAACGTTAGCAAGCCCAGTTCTAATCCTTCATAAATACCAATAACAGAAACGTATTAAAAGTATAAGTCATGGAAAATACTACAAAGACATTAAAAGAAGACAGAGATGATACACCCTATAGATGTGACCCACACTACTCTACTACCCTAGTCTTTAGCCTCCATATTTTCCTATCAGAGGTCATGTCTTCGGTAAGGGCTAAATCCCTCAAATCAGATCTCAAGCAGTCTTCCCACTTTCGCCTTGGTCGTCCTTTCCTTCTGGCACCGTCGACTGTAATCGACTCTACCCTCCTTACCGCATCCGACGGTAGTCGCCTAAGGACATGCCCAAACCACCGTAGTCTTCCCTCCCTCAATTTTTCGGAAACAGACACCACCCCCAAGGACATCCTAATAGCAGAGTTTGTCGTCATATCCCTCAGAGTCCTACCACATGTCCATCGAAGCATTCTCATTTCTGCGGCCTCAATCCTCCTCACGTGATCCTTCTTGGTTGCCCAACATTCTGATCCATACAACAGCGCTGGTCTTATTGCCATTCTATAAAATTTTCCCTTAAGTTTTAGAGGGACCTTCTTGTCACACAGAACTCCAGTAGCGGCCCTCCACTTTAGCCATCCCGCCTTTATACGGTGTGTAACGTCATCATCTACACCCCCATCTTTATGTATCATAGACCCTAGGTACTTGAAACAATCCTTTGAGGGGAGAACGTGTCCTTCTATGCATACTTCTACATCTTCATCATTTTGGTTCCCATTGAAGTTTGAACATACATACTCTGTCTTTTCAATATTGATCCTTAAACCTTTTCTTCCAAGCAGTCTTCCAGGTAGCCAGTCTACTATTCAACTCAGATTTTGTTTCAGCAACTAAGACAATGTCGTCAGCGAAAAGCATACACCATGGTACACCGTCTGGTGTCGCACAATAGATGTCGTCCATAATCAAGGCGAAGATGTAAGGGCTAAGAGCCGACCCTGGTGGAGTCCGATTTCCACCGGGAATGCCTCGGTGTCGCCAACTGTAGTCCTGACGTAAGTAGTAGATCTACAGTATATATCACGAATCGCCCGGATATAAGCAGTTGGGATCCGTCTAGTTTCCAAAGTCTTCCAGATCGTATCGCGGGGAACACTATCATAAGCCTTCTCAAGGTCAATGAACGCCATGTGAAGATCTCTAGACTTTTCCCTATATGTCTCCATAAGCCGTCGAAGTAGATGAATCGCCTCCGTGGTAGACCTGCCTGGCATAAAGCCAAATTGGTTTTCCGAAACCCTAGTAACTTGTCTCAACCTAGCCTCTATCACCCTTTCCCATAGCTTCATGGTATGGCTGAGGAGTTTAATACCTCTGTAGTTACCACAACGTTGGGGATCTCCTTTATTTTATAGATTGGTATCACCGTAGACTCTCTCCACTCCTCTGGCATCTTGGCAGTCTCTAAAATAATATAAAGATGTTGGTCAACACTTAACTCCCTCTTCTCCTAGGGCCAACCACACAGTGATAGGAATTTGATCAGGACCGACAGCTTTGTCCCTTCCCATCTTTCTAAGAGCCATTTTGACTTCCTCCAACCCAATCCTACTTGTAGGGCAATCATTGGCCGTAGTATGATAGTCGGCTAACCCATCAACGATATTATCTCTACATGGAGAGGCACCGTCATTAAATAAGCCAAAGAAGTAACTACCCCAAACCCTCTTAATATCGTGATCTTTCGCTAAAAGAACACCATTGTTGTCCTTAATAAACCTAATGTTACCTAGATCCTTTTTTCTAATCTCCCTAGATTTTGCAAGTCTGAAGATGCCATTTTGTCCTTCCTTGGTGTCTAATCTCTTGTACATTTCCTCGTATGCCTTATCCTTTGCTTTAGCTACCGTTTTCTTGGCTTCCCGCTTTGCCTCCTGGTATCTTTGTTTAGCTCTCGACCTTTCTTCGTCGTCATTGCATTGTAGAAACTCCTTGAAGCAAGTTTGTTTTGTCTTCACCTTAGTTTGGACTTCTTCGTTCCACCACCACGATTCTTTATGTTCCTTGGCCTTCCCCGTCGACAACCCAAGGGTATTTTGCCAACATCTCTGATGGAATTTGCCATATTTTCCATAACATATCTGCATTTTTTGAGTTTGTAGTTTCAAAACTTGTACTAGACAAAACCTTACTCCTAAAGTCATCAGTTGTCGCTCCATGTAAGTTCTTCCAGAGGATCCTAGGTTTACCAAGTTTAGCCCTCCTTTGAGTGCTCCGCCCGTGGGGTACGCGGTACACCAAAACCAACAATTTGTGTTGTGATGCACATGCCTCTTCAGGAAACACCTTACAGTCAATGCAAGCCCATCGTTCCTGATTTCTAATCAAGATGTAGTCGATTTGGGTACAATGTCCCCCGCTATGAAACGTAATCAAGTTCGCATCTCTCTTATTAAAGAAGGAGTTAGTGACCACCAAATCGTGAGCAGTAGCAAAATCAAGCAACGTACGCCCCTCATCGTTCCTGCTACCATAACCGAAACCCCCATGAACACCGTCATACCCGTCGGTTGCACTTCCTATATGGCCATTGAAGTCTCCCCCTATGAAAACTCTTTGGTCCTCCGGAATGCTCCTAAGTATATCATCTAACTGATCCCAGTAGCAACGTTTCTCCCCCTCCCCTAGGCCAACGTGTGGGGCGTACACTGAAAGAACATTCACTACTTCCTCTTCTATAATAACCTTAATCATCATGATCCTATCCCGGTATCTGCAAACTTCAACTACATTTTCCTTGAGCCTAGAGGATGCCAAGATACCCACCCCATTTCTAGCGCTATCTACGCCTGAATACCACAACTTGTACCCATTACACTCTCTGGCGCGAGACCCTTTCCACCTAGTCTCCTGAATACATGCAAAATCTATTTTTCTATTATTTAGTACGTCGGTCAGCTCCAGCAGCCTAGCATTTAATGTGCCTACATTCAGCGAGCAAACTCTTAATCTAGTCTCCTTGTCACCACTCTGTCGAGCCCTCCCCCTATACGCCCCATGGGATCTAAAAGAATGACATGACCTCAAGTAATCATCTGTAACCGAAGCTATGCGGAACTATGAAAAAAGAATCCAAATAAGACAGAATATGCACTAATAAAACGCTAGAGAATTGAGGAGTACTAAAAATCCTAGTTGGTTACTTAATAGGATTTTAAGAAATAATAATACTATCTTATTTAACTATAGGCCAATATCTAGAAACTATAATTTAAAAAGTTCAATAAATATCCGAGCTAAGCAAAAAAGGATTAAAATTGTAACACGAGATATAAGAGTAATGAAATCCTACTCAACTAATTGAAAAACATCAAACCCAAAGCTGATAAAAAAAATCAGTATAAAAACAAGAGAAAAAAACAGCAAGAAGCTAAGTCAAAGAAAGCAGATCCAACAACAACAAGATTAATAAATATTAAGTACAAAAATATGCAAGGGATATGCAAAACAACGACAAAGCTAAAAGGGATATACATACTCGGGTTTTTTAGGCCCAGCCCTAAAAAAAATTTGTAAAATAGGGCACAAACACTTTTATTTTAGGATCTACGAAATTTTTTATAGTGCATGGAACTCGTCATATTAAGATGATGAATTTTAATAAAAATATTTTATTGAAACTTTTTATCTCGATGTGATAAATTTTAATAAAAATATTATATTTCATTAGAACTCGTTACCTCGATGTGACGAGTTTAAATAAAAATATTTTTTATTAGAACTAGTTATCTCTACGTAACCAATTCCATTATCAATGTATAAAATACCGCAAATCTCAAAATAGAAACCTGAGTACCCATGGGCTAAAAAAAATCCGAATGTCCTAATGGGTATAAAAACCCTCCATGTCCTTATGGCACATACTCGTGTCTGCTTTAAGAATGGATATAAAATATGTTGTTATCAGGGGAGTGGACTTTTAAAAATCTAAAAAAAAATAATTAATTTTTAAAACTTTAAGAAATACAGAAATATATTATTAATAAAAATACAAAAGAAATATAAAAAAATATATAATAATTTAAAATTTTTCGACCACTAATCTATTCACTCTCCCTCAATTCATCCCTGCTGTCAACCTATCTATAAATACAAATTGATGGTCCAAAAATCCAACATAGACGCGATTTGCCTCATCCAGATCTCTAGGTTTAGAACAAATATGGTCTGGTATTTGAAAATTGTCATTTGCAAAGACGTTAATGATCCGACAATTCTAGGTGGTTCTACCAAATGTTTGTTGAATGGATTTTACAATATGGAAAAGCTTGGTCTAATGTTTGAGACATTTTGATACGGAGCTTAGCTTAGATGACCCACCAATGCCACCCTCTTTGCTTTTGAGTTATATTTTTACGAGGTTAAATTCCGTTAGAAGTTTTGTACTACATTTAAAAGTTTATTTATTTTTAGTATAAAAATAATTATTTTACTTTTTATATCATATTTAAAATTTTATTTAATCTTTATATTATAAAAATAATATTTTACTTCAATATATTTGAAAAGTTATAATCCAAAATGTTAAC